AAGAGAGAGAGAGAGAGAGAGAGAGAGAGAGAGAGAGAGAGAGAGAGAGAGAGAGAGAGAGAGAGAGAAGGCTGAATTTCCAACAGGGAATTTTGCCATATTCGGCAGTGGAGCCCCGCTTAGTTTGAAAATCTCGTCAAACTAAGCCGGTAAAGCACAAGCCTAAGTATTTGTTTGGCTTCGGTGTACACTGTTGTTCACCGACGAACTGTTGAAATACAGATGCAAAGTTCGAATCCAGCCGTAATCAGATGACCACGTTTATTTGTACGGCAGTGGAGCCCTGCTTAGTTCGTAAATTTCGTCAAACTAAGCTGGTAAAGCACATGCCTAAGTAAAGCAAAAGCCTAAGTAAAGCAAAAGCCTAAGTATTTTCTTGGCTTCGGTATACACCCACAAGGTGTTGAAAATACAGATGCAAGTTCGAATCCGGACCAAAGCTATTTGTGCGGCTCGCAAAATTATTCGTTCGGCTCCCGAAATAATGTTTTTGATCTCCGATTCAGACACCGCTTGCCGAATTTTCAGCCATTCTAGGCTGAATTCCCAAAAGGGAAATATTTTTTTTGGCCATATTTCGCAGTGGAGCCCGCTTAGTTTGTGAGTTTTTTTTTGTTTGTTTGGCTTCGGTATACACCCACAAAGTGTTGGAAAGACAGACACAAGTTCGAATCCAGACCAAAGTCATTTGTGTGGCTCGCAGAATTGTTCATTCGGCTTTATTTTCTTTCAAAAAAAAAAAAAAAAACGTTTTCAATCTCCAATTTGGATGCGGCTTGGAACTGTTGAAATACAGACCCCCCTAGTCCGAATCCAGACACAAAGTTATTTGTGCGGCTCGCAAAATTATTCGGTCGGCTGAATCGGCTGCCAAAATAACGTTTTTCGATCTACGATTCGGACGCGGCTTGCAAAAAAATATTTATTCGGCTCCAGCATGTGAACTATTTATTTGGCTCCCACAATTATTTATGTGGCTAGCAAAAAGGATGTATTCGGCTTTCCTAAAATAAAGTTTTTGATCTTTGATTCATATTCCACGTGCAAAATTATTTATTCGACGCCAAAATTATTTACTTGGGTGAAGTTGGGTCCCTAAATAACGTTTTTGAGTCCCTGAAAGAGGAAAGAATTGTTTTCGGGTCGGTAAATAACGGTTTCGATCTCCGATTCATACACGGCTCGTAAAGTTATTTAATTGACTCAAAATTTCGAAAAGTTATTTATTTGGCTTGCTGAATGATTTAGTTGGTTCCCAAAATTATGTACGTGGCTCACAAAATGATTTAATCGGGTTCCAAAATAACGTTTTTTTTTCCCTTTTCTGATCTGTGATCTTATGGAAAGCAGAGATGAGAAGACTGCGTATGAACAGGCAGGTGGAGGGAGAGAGGAAGTGTGACTGAAATCTGTGCATTAAGCAGCGAAAACTCGAGGCTCAAACTCAGTATATGAGCTCAGTGAAAGGTGCTCTGCTTAACTGAAGGCGTCACTTCATTGACGTTCTGGCGCCATTATTTTATAACTTTGCGGTAAGCGAAAGAAATGAAAAGCAACAGGTTCATTCTCTCTCTCTCTCTCTCTCTCTCTCTCTCTCTCTCTCTCTCTCTCTCTCTCTCTCTCTC